GAAGGGGCTAAGGACATCAAGGACGTTCGATCCATTAGCCTCTTGAATTCCACCTACAAAATTCTGGCTAAAGTCTTAGCCTCTAGACTTCAAAAAGTTCTCCCTACAGTTATCTCTCCTTCCCAATCTGCCTTTATCCAAGATAGGCAAATTTTGGATGGGGTCTTGGTAGTTAATAAGTGTCTCCACTCTAGACACCTAGCTAAGAAACCAGGTTTAATCTTCAAAATAGACTGGGAGAAAGCCTACGATCACGTAGACTGGTCTATTTTGGATGAAAACATGTCGAGGTTGAGCTTCAGAGATTGCTGGAGGAGGTGGATGAGGGGATGTTACTCCAACCCCCATCTATCCATTCTCCTTAACGGATCACCGAAAGGTTTATTCCCGGCTCACAGGGGGCTTCGCCAAGGGGACCCCCTATCCCCTTTCCTCTTCGTCATAGCCGCGGAAGTCTTCTCTTGATCCCTCTCTTGCCTCTACTAGCACGATCTCCTTTCTAGCTTCACCACCAGCCCCTTGGTGTCACACCTGCAATACGCAGATGACACCCTAGTTTTCCTTGGCGCCACCCTTGAGGAAATCGACACCCTTAAACTCTGTCTCCAATGCTTCCAGACAGCTACAGGGTTTAAAGTCAACATGAGTAAATCTAAAATGATGGGAGTTGCCTTGACCCCTGATGAGGTGCCTGCCCTCATTCCAGACTGGGACTGCAAAGTGGAAGATCTCCCCTCCACCTACCTGGGTCTTCCTTTGGGGTTTGGGAAACCCAATAAAAGACTTTGGTCTCAGATCCTTGATAAAGTTGAGAGACACCTCTCCACTTGGAAAGGTAGGTATCTCTCACCAGCGGCCAGAGTCACCCTGATTAAGGCCACCCTGGCAAACACCCCGGTTTATGCCATGTCCTTGTTCCAGATGACGGTACAAGTAGCCAACCACATAGAACTATTTATGCGAAACTTCCTCTGGTCTGGCCAAGCAGAGAATACTAAATTTCACCTGGTAGCCTGAGATAACATATGCCTACCAAGAAAACATGGGGGCCTTGGGATTCGAATCCTCAGAAAGCATAACATAGTTCTCTTAAGTAAATGGTGGTGGCGCCTGGCCACCCAACCGAATGCTCTTTGGGCCTAAATTTTGCGCAAAAAATACAATATCCAGGATGATACTTGGGTACCAAAGAGTATCCAAAAACAGAGGGCATCCGGAGTGTGGCTGTCTCTGGCTTCTTCCCTTCCATTGTTCAAAAGGAACATTAGATTCCACACTAGAGTTGGCACCAGAGTCAAATTCTGGAAAGATCTTTGGATTGGTACTTCACCTTTGTGCAAGGCCTTCCTCTCCCTCATCTCCCTCTCCTCTGATGGCAACTCCACTGTTGCTGACAAACTGCCTATTGTTGGTGGCAGAAGAACTTGGTGTCCTTCATTCCGCAGACACCTCTCTGAGGACGAGTGCACTCAGTTTCTACTTCTACTGGGTACCTTATCCTCGCACTTCCTCCCCCACTCTGGTTGTGATTCTTTGGTTTGGAGCCTATCCCCTTCTGGCCTCTTTTCTGTAACCTCTTTCTACAAAAGCCCTCATTCAACCTCCAACCTTCCCCCTGAACCCCACCTTTATTTTGTCGAAAGTGTGGTCCACCATAGCTTCACCTAAAATCAAGTTCTTTTGTTGGATTGCCTGCTCATAAAGCCCTCACAGTCGACCAATTACAAAGAAGAGATCTTTCCTTACCAAATAGATGTGTCCTTTGCCTCAGGGAGGAGGAATCCAACCCTCACCTGTTCATTCATTGCGACTTTTCCAGTCATCTGTGGTCACTAGTACTCCAACTTTTCGGCCTCCAATGGGTTACCCCACCGATGGTCAAAGCTCTCATCACCTACAACTTCGATTCTCAGTGGCCCTCGGCTGGGAAATTATTATGGAAGGCCACTGTGGCTGCCACAATCTGGTCTCTATGGCTGGAAAGGAACCATAGGATCTTCAATGGGGCTCAGCTACAACAGTCAGCCCTTTCCTACAAGATAGTCTCGTTAACATCTTTATGGGCTTCTCATCATAAATCCTTTTCGGGGATCCCTAGGAACACTTTCTTTCCTCATTGGAGAAACATACTCAAACATAGACCTCCCAAACCCCCAAGAATTAGCAGATGGCGACCCCCACCAGAGGCAGTATTAAGTTGAACTTTGATGGCTGCTCTTTAGGAAACCCTGGTCCCTCAGGCACGAGGGGTGTTTTCAGAGACAGCCAAGGCTTTGTCCTCTTTTCTCTCTCGGCGCATCTTGGGACTTTTGACTCCCAATATGCAGAAGCCATGGCTCTCCTTCTGGGATCGAGAAACTTTAATTCTTCTTGGGGCTCTACACTGATTGTAGAAAGATATTCTTCTAACACCATTTCCTGAGGAAGAGGCTTGTCCCCCCCTCCTTGGCATTTGTCCTCAATCTTTGATGAGATCTCATATTTATGCAGGGTTACCAACATCTTATGGCAGCATACCTAGAGGATGTCCAACAGTCTCGCAGATCTACTGGCGAAGGAGGGAGCTAGTTTGCACTTGGACCCCCAGACTAGGTCCAACTCCTTTTTTGTTCAGGACCTTAGCCGCACTGACTCTTAGACTAGGTCCAACTCCTTCTCTGTTCTGGACCTCTATAGTACAGTCTAGCACCTCTCTTTTTGAGCAAGCATGTGCTAAGTTTTTTTGTATATCTCTTTGTATATCCTATAACTTGGGCACTTCTTATAAGCTTTTACTGTTTGTGGAAGACTAACGTACTAATGTTTTTTTACTGATAGCCACACGGGAGGGTGTGTTTTCAGTCATTCCTCTTGTAAACTCTCATAAGAAATACAAAGTTAACAATACTAAAAAAAATAAAAAATTTCTTTGGTTTTCTTTGCAAGTAAACTAAATTTATCATACGTATTTTGGAATACATTAATTTACTCCCTGTAGTCAGCAGAGTCTAATATATATATATATATATATATATATATTACACAATTAAGATTATGGTTACCCTGTTTTATATTTTTAAGAGAATTAGGCGTAGATTATGGATTTTTATTTTTCTATTTCTGATTCTGAAAGTTGATGAGATAAGGTTTTCCTTTAGTAGTTATTTTTTTGGGAGTTCTAAGATGAAGGGAAAGTAGGTGGTCTATTGTGAAGCATTTAGGGTTTCCTTTGTAAAGTGTGGTCACAAAATTTTCTGTTTATAAGACAGAGTACTTAGGGTGGACTGCATTGAAGACTCCAAGAGAGGCCATAATCTTTCAATGGATAGGGAGATCCTTGCAAGCTCATATAGGGCCTTAATCTCTTAATGATTAAAGTTATTTCATGTAGCTTCCCTTGATTACGTTTGATATGTTTTCCCCTTCCTCTTTTCTATTTTATTTTTCTTATTTCATGATTGTAAAAACCGATATACAAAATTGTCATGTGTGAGAATAAGTATGATTTACATGAGCAAAAAGCAATGAAGAAGAGAGAAGTATTAGATCAAATAATTGAGGTGAACATTAATACTGTTCTTACAACCCCATATTTAGCCAAAAACTCATTACGCTCATTTGATACCCTCAGTGAGCACTGAAATGAAACAATGACCTCAGAACTCAATTCTGAAATTTCTGCAAAAAAGTACCTGCAAATTTCCATGTACAGTGAGTTTTTTCACTAGCCAAAAAAAATTTGTTGGTTGAGTCCCCTTTAACAAGAAGATAATTCTAACAAAGGTGAAAAAGCATACTGCCTACTACGAAATCTTAATCGCCTTTTCCCGAATCTTGTGCTTTCGATCCCGCTACCGTAACCAACCATAAACAGGTAGCAAAGAGAAATTCATAGGCATTGAAGTCTAGCCCTGATAGTGGAGGGGTCAGCCGTCCACCATAGCTCGAGTGGGGGATTGAATAATAAGAATTTCCGATATTGGGAACTCACTTTATCTATGAGATGTTTCCGGCTGGGAGGGATAAAGGCAAGGGAAGTGCGCAAGCTAGAGCGGAGCTAACACTAGAACTCTTTCCTGCAAGTGAAACTCCAGCGGGTGGAGCTAACACTATAGCTACTTTCCCGAAGCGAAGGGAAATAGAACACTAAGAGTAAGGGTTAGCTAAACCCTAGCATACTAACCTCCTCTAAAAATGGAATCATTTCAATTTTGTTCATGTTATATGCACTTGCAGGGCTTGAGTGAACAAGCAGATCATTCTATCATTCTTGCAGAGAGCTCCACAAATACTAGCCAGACCGGGATTTCCCTAGGAGCCCCGCCATCATCAGTATAAAAAACAATATCTGTTTATTTTATAGAATACACCAACTAGCTGTTGATATAAAACATTTAAACAGAAAGATGGTGGCACCCAAAAAAAAAAACTAGATGATGGATGCAAGCGAACTGCCTTTCCATCTATAGAGAAAGGAATGAGGTACCTGCCTGCCCATCCCGATGATTTTAATATGAGGATTCAGGTTATCAAGGCCTTGATGCAGATCACAGTCAACAAGTACGCTTGAATAAACATTCGAAAAATTTTATACTTCTGGTTGATATAGGAAGCAAAAGATTTGGAACAAGCCAAATCCAGGAGATGGAGGTTTCCAACTAGTCCCAAACACTCAACCAGTACAGAAGTCAAATATAATGCAGTAACAAGAACTTGCAAAGATGGAAGTCCAAGAATAACCAACCAAAAAATAAATAAATAAAAAGCATGTGAAATAGAATGCAAAAATATGAATATTTCCAAGAATATTAACTCCAGATTCAAAAAATAAAATAAAAAGAATACTTCAGAAATCTTGATGCACCAAACTTTAAGTAAGATGGGACATATGTCACTCAATGAAAAGGAGCACTTGCAATTTTAAAGAAAATATAAAGAACATGTTTGTGGTCATCAAATGATCAAATGAATGAGGCTAAGGGAAGAGAAAAAAATAAATAGGATATTTGGTAATCATTCACCTCCACCATTTTCATGCTCCTCGGGTTTAGTTTTGGGTTTCTCTTCTCGATCTTTGCCCAGTTCCTTATCAATGTATTCTTCATGTTGCTTCTCTTTTTCCTTTTCCTTTTCCTTTTCCTTTTCCTTTTCCTTGACACGTTCCTTCTCCAAACGCTCTCTCTCCCTTTCTCGTTCTCTCTCGAACTCCTTCTCTCTCTCTTGTCTATCTCGCTCCCTTACACGTACATGTTCACGTTCACGTTCATGCTCATGATCATATTCTTTCTCTTTCTCCTTCTCTTTATCTTTCTGAAGATTTTCTTTCTTCTCCTTTATAATTTGTCGCAACTCATAGACATTTTTCGTAATAAGATCCAATGGTTGCAGAAAAGAGAAGTCATCATCAACATCTGTATCACTCTGGAATGTTAAGCATGGATCAGCTACTAATGTTTGTGCAAGATAAAATACAAGCAGAGGGATACAGATAAATCGTAACAGAAACTCACGTTGCTTAGATTGGCTTCCAACTCCAGATATTGTAGTCCTTTCTGAACAAAAGTTACAAGAGCACCAGGTGGAACTAAATTTCCATCTATAGTACTTTTATTAATCCCAGCTTCATATCCAAGAGCAAATGCTGAATGTACGAAACCTGAGATACTTGAATGAAAAAATAAATAAGAAAACCTATAGCATATCAGAAAGAAAACAATAAGGAATAAAAAAACATAAGGAAACCCAAGAATACCATGTTAGGGGATCTGTTTCACCGTAAAACACTAGGACAATCTTAATTAATCTCAATGCAAAAAAAAAAAACATTGTAGCTCAAAAACCGCCGCAAATCAAGTCCTCCATGATCAAATCAGAATTGTACATTCAAAACGTGAATCACAGATGATAAGAAAATTTCAGATCATTGAAATCCCCTAAAGTGTTTTGCCCGAGGGAACAAAGCTACAGATTGGTCACCATATACATGCACAATAAATAGGAAACATAAAGGATGCAAGAAACAAAGCAAGCACGATAACATGGGAAACTTGAGCTATCAAAGGCAGCTTGATATCCAAAACTGCTTACATTGTTATCTGCTGACGATGGACCAAGTATGAGAAACTTGAATAGGTGTGTTAACTCATTAGCATATAACCACCAAGAATAAATCATGGGGTAGAACCCAACACACTAAGCATATTTTAATTAAAAAGATAAGATACATAATGCAAAAAAAAAAAACATTCGCTTCATTTTTGTTATTTTTACAAAGCAAAGGAGATTTCTAAAACAAAAAGTATTAAATGTTCACAGACCTACCATAAACCTTAAAAGATTCTACACTTTTACTGTAGCATATTTGCTGATTAAATAGTTACAAAAATTTACCACCTATGCTTGCAATTCATCCGAGGAATGTGCAACCCGATACTGCAGGTTTCCCTCAAACAGGGCAGGACCCTCATAGGAGAAATCACACTCCATTTATAGCTACCTAGACTGGAACTACAATCCTCTATCTCAAGATGCACCATGAGCTGAGTGCATAAACATTTAAAAGAGCTAAAATTGGCATCATCATTCCCCCATGCTCCATGGTGGAGCTTGTATAGCAGAGACTTAAGACAATTATTTGCTCACATTGTTGGAAGTCAGTCCAACCTCTCAACACAATACTCTTTTCTTTTCTTTTATTCCCATTTTCTTTTTGGGCTGGGGGAGGAAAGGGAAGGCCCTGGTGGGGGGTGGGGGAGTGGAGTAGTTTGCTGATATGCACCGAGATACAGCCATGAAGCAAGTGCATCACTTCCAATGTGCACAATAACAAAAATATTTACAAATTACCAGAATGAAAAGCATAACATAAATATGTGATGTACGCAATTGAAGGCAATTTAATTTCACATTTGTCCCCTATAGACACGATCTCTAAGTCCTCAATAGTGAGTAGTAGATACATTGTCTGTCTCTATTCTCTGATCTAATTAACATGTAAATTCAAAAGAATATGTGTTACGACAATCAAGCACTTAGAAAATTATCATTTAGCATCTAAGTATGATATAGCATATAGCCAAATGCTAAAGTATTTGTATGTACATCCAAAAACCAAGAGTTTTCCTTTTTAATTGGCGGTGGGCAGCTCATGCACAGTATTTCCACCCACATGCATGGTCTGCATATGCAGGTGCATCACACCATGTGATGCACTACCTAGGTAGGCAAATCTTGGCGGTAGCGCGGCACCACTTTGATGAGGCCGCATAATGTGTTACATGCCACATCTGAGAACCATGACACTAACTTGATCGAATAATTGTATTTTGAGTTCAATGTAGAGCAAACCTGACTCTTCACCTCCAGCACAATCATATCTACTTCATAGTTGTCGGGTGCGGGTGCATTCCCGGGAGCGGGAGCAGGAGCGGGTTCAGGTCAGAAAAATCGTGAATTGTTGGAAGCTCCTTGTGGTTGGGATCGTCATCCGTACGATCCTATATCAATCAAGTGGGATACTTGTCACAAGGAAGCACAATTCCATGGGGAAGGAATCGCAATAGGATGTTTTAAGGGATCAAGAATGATGCGTGGGTTCACAGTACCATTGGGCACAAAACTGAATCATTGCATATGAATCAGTGCCAAATAGAGAAAAAATCATATGCACGGTGTCATACACTTGAGAACCGTGATTTGAACCCGCTGGGAACGCAAATCACAATATAGGGAACGACATTCCATCCAAGATTCCTAGATGGAACCGCGGAATCGAGGTCCCAGAGATGGTCCATGACCTTTCCTCCAAGGTTCCAGCAACTATGATCTACTTCCAGCATCTGCATTCTAGGTGCAGGATTTGGGAACATGCCATTTACACATCTCCATAAAGATTGGTTATTGGTTGTTTAGATTTGAGAGACCGTACAGAACAAAAATCCAAGCAAGGCCCCCTATCACCCAAGGGTAACTAATTTTGAATCACGAAGAATGTGGTTTGGCATTTACTCACGCATTCATGACTGTATATGAGAATCATTAATTGGATGGAAAGAGAAACCTATTTATACAAAGTGGTGTTAAGTTGTGGGTTTCATAAATTGGATATGATGATCTGTCCTGGGATTCATGAACTCCTGTCAAATTGAGTAATTCCGAGGTAAGTGGTAATGGAGACTTCCATGCCCCTCGAAAGGACCCAATGTTTTGGCTGGGTAGTTGATCTAGGACTCACCCCAGGGATCAACACATTGCTTTTCATGGACCACATTGTTTTTTATTGGTACCTCATAGAGGATCAAGTCCAGTATTAGGGTCTCTCTATGGACCATTTCTTGATTCATGATTCCTTGGCTTAAACAATTTAGAGCTTTTTCGTTGATCTATGGGGGGTGCACTCTTTAGTAGATCAACTTTTAGACTATGGACTTTAAACACCGCAACCAAAGGAAGTTATGTCTCACTGCCATCTAGAAAATAGGAAAGGAATACAATGTGAGAATTTCAAAGCAAGGAGTATTAGCAATAAGACGATCAGGGGGCAGATTCAATGCTTAGGGACACCATGCTTAGGGACACCAAGGACAAGTTTGAGGATCAAATGTTGAAAGTTTCATGCTGGAGTGCGGGCCCTTAGTGCACAGTATGAAGTTCCCACCAAAAGAAGTGTGGTTTGACAACCTCCACCAACTGCATTACTCAGTTATAGGTTTATTATTGATAATTATTGTTAAGTTGTACTTCAACGATAGTTCTTCTGAAAACCCTGAACATGCTAGGGTGGAAGGATCATTAAAAACTATTATGGGACTATGGGGTTGACTTTCTCCAAACCAATAAGAGCATATAACATGATAAACACAAGTTTTCACCATCTTCACTGGTTTTAAGAGTTAACATCCATGTTTGATAGGCCATTAACATTGAACTAGACACAAATGTGGGGGGAAAAGGGGAAAGTAAAATAATAAATCAAAACAAATAAAGTTTGATAGACTATACTCTCTCTTAGTCTCAAGATTTGCAAAGGAGCTTACCCCAAAGATTTCTTCACAAGATCCACAAACAAATTCTTTCTTTTCTTCTCTATTTTGTCCCTAGTCCAGTGGTCACATATTTATAAAAGAAAAAAACTCTAAACCCTAACTTGCAACCTAGGAAATCCTAATCAATACGAAATCCTAGCCCTTCATCTTTAAAAAAATAAACTTCCAATTCTACCCCTCAAATCTCTAGAACTAAAAAAAACAAAAATAACCCTAAAGAAAACTAGGAACGCAAAATAAGCCAAAACCTAAAATCTAAAGAATATTAAAATAAAAATACAAAAAACCCATTACATTACTCCCTTGACATACGATTAGTAGGGTCAAATGAGGTGCACCTTCCTTTGAGATTGGCCAACCAATTTGACGATATCCTTCACATTTTTCATTTGAGTAGGCCCGTAGGTGGGCTCGTCAGAGACCATCCCAAACCCAGCCGGTGAAGAAGGGCTCTCTATTCGAGCCCAAGTCAAACATGATAAGGCCCAAACACACTTGTTGAGAAGTAGAACTGCTATAGATGTACTTAAGCAAGGCCTGAACGGGCCCAGCCTGCCATACTCATCCAAATTTTCCCTTAGCAAAATACCATCACCCCTCTAGCCTTTGCTTTTTAGAATCTGTCCTCCCACTCGTTTGCAATATTCTTCAATGCGGGCTGTTATTCCATTTCACAAATTATTCCTCCCCAAAAAACACCCACAATCCTCTTTCTTTCACACAAATCTGTTACATAATTACTTTCTAGTGTTTCCAATTCCAAAAAACATTTGGTCAAGAAGATATTAATCGAACAAGTACTCTAAGGCAATGAAGCGCTGAATAGACTAGAAAGTTCATGTACTTTAGAACCCAAATATAAAGGAAAGAAACCCAAGTTACAAACTTCTCTCATGGCCATTGCAATTCGAAATTTACATTTAGGAAAACCAAAATATGCCTCTCTGGGGCAACATTCATGTTCTTCAAATAACTACAACCTCTAACCCCTTTATGTAACATTATGGCAAATCCTCCAAACAGAAGTCACTCTCCACTAATGGCTATCTCTTTTTCTTTTTCTTTTTCTTTCTTTCTTTTTTTTTTTTTTAAAAGCAAAAAGGGAGAATGGCTTACGCTGTAATATAAATCATCAATTTCATAGGAGCTTGTGCGGGGCTATCGTTGCTTCCAAGCTCATCTTCTTCTAGTTATATAGGAGATTTCAAGTTCCTCTGTTAAAAATGGCTCCAGATTATCTTTTACCATGATTGTTGATAATTGAAGCTGCTCCTAAGAAAGGCGATGGCAGCACAAAGAATGGTCGAGATTCGAGGAGATAGAAGCTTGAGGTGACCATCTATGATGATCAGGTTGCCAAAGCGGGGGTTAATGTTCTAAGGCAGAGGGGAACCAAGGTTGGGCTTTCTTGATTTCATAGCAATTTGGTTATGGGAATGGTAGGGATCCATCCCTCCCTCCCTCCCCTTGTTTTTGGGGGTAAATAGGCAAGTTGTCAACCTAGCTCTGTACATAAGTTTTTCATCAAAAAGATTTTTAAATGGAAGATGGATTAAGATTAACGGAAAACGTGTGCTTATATTTTATGGGCCTTTTGAGAGAGAGATAGAGAGAAGAGTTTCATGGATTTGATAGAGAGAGGAATTTCATGGATTTGGTACAAAGAGAGAGAGAGAGCAATCTCAAATCAAGTTTAGTTCCTGGTGGAGAAATAGTCCCAAATTGAAGACTAGGCACACAGATGGGACAAAAAAAGACCATAAAAAGCAAGATAACGAAAGGCTAGGATTCTTGTCTTGGAGTTTAAGGGCTTAGGATGTGATTATTTCATCATAGCCACCTAGGTTCAACTTCAAAATTCAGTCCCTTCTTGCGAGGAAAAAGGGAAAATGCATGGTCACATGTTGTTTATAATCTAGTGAAGGCCCGTCAGGTCTCAATGCCTAGGCCTGAGCCTGGATGGCTATTTTAACCGGTCTCACATTTAGGCCTGGCGTTGCCTGATAGACCTTGTACCTAGCCAAGTCAAGCCAATTCTGCTCAAACTATCGAGCTACTTGGCCCACTTACATGACTAGTTTTAAGGAGTTTTCTTTTCAATGCGTACCTAGAGAAAACATCGATGTCAAGCTCTAAGCAAACCATGATGTCAACATGGAGTCTACTTTTAAGGCATTCCAACCACCACTGATAAGTGGCAACACATTTTTGGCAATTTCCTCTCATGCCATTCTCTTGCTTATTTATTCACCTCTATCAATGTCACTTCTACTATTTTATCTCCTAGTTTTCCTCCAATAATATACAACTTCATCACTACATGCCATAGAGAACAACTAGATCTCTACTCCTTTACTAATTGAAATTGTTAAACTATAAATGCATGTTGATTTGGCTTAATGCACTACTTTCATATAATAGTCTTCTAGTTGTTATCATAGACTTGTCGTGTGGGACCAAGCAACTTTACACATTTCATGAAATAAATTGCTATGAGCAAAACAAACATATTGAATTAATTGCTACTTCACATGGAGCAGGTTGTGGCAAAAGAATCGAGATCCTATAGAAATAGATTATAACACATATATGGTAATACATATAATTGGAAGTTGAGCATCACGTACACCAATGCACTAACGTGAGGTGGCATGTCAAAAGGCAAGGAAAATGATAATATGCACCAACATGAGGTGGCACGTCGCATATAAGACACTCGTATGGACAAGGGAAATCCATGTCAAACATAGTGTTTTTGCTATGTAGATGTGCAAGGCCACAAATTGGATGAACAAGAAATGCATGTTCATTTTGTGATACATTAGTGTCTACATTAAGTAACAAGCATGTCCGTTTTGTAAGACATGCATAGCTATATGTCTCTTATGGTGTGGACAAGCATGCTATTTGATTTGGACGCACGTGTTTTTTTTCAGATTAATTATATTATTAAAAGGTCACAAACTAATTTTTGGCAAACTTGCACAGACATCCTACTGGACTTTGCTAAATATAGGTAAGTCGGACTCTTCGAATCCAAGTCAAGCAGGAATTTCCATATCCATGTTCATGTAACATAAAACATTGGCCTTGGTGCTCATGCCAACACACATTTGTATGGCTTCAAACTTGCAAATTGTGGCTTGTCCACATGGTAGAGCTTTGTGGGTTAGTCAAAACTCCCAAAATTGGAAAAGAACCAGAACTAGGAGAGAAAGAATAAGACAAATTTCATTTGGGTTCCACATAGGTTCCACATACCATACAAAAGAGGCTACGTAAGAAACAGCAAGGTATTACAAGCGGCTACCCTCCATAAATAGGCTATTACACAAAACAAAGTTAGGAAAGCAACGAGGTTTCAAGAAATTAGTTGTGCAAAGAGGACACCAGATTGCATTATGTCAAAGGCATATAGAAAAAAATGTAGACGCAGTCACAATAGGGAAAGCAATCGTTTCAAGAGAAAGAAGAAAATCACTGATTCACTGATGATGATGGTAGATAAACATTCAATTATTTAGACTAAGAAGCATACAGCGAGAGAGAGAGAGAGAGTACGGCCAGCTCAAAATTTGCAAGTTATCGTGAACTGAAAAATGAAAAAATGATAATCAGAAGAAGAAGAAGTGGCAGATTGAGAAAATATGGCTTTCCAAGATATTCAACCGTCTGGGTTAACCTGCATAGCAGAGGGTTCTGAAGAATTAGCCTTACAACATACATCAAAAACAGAACAAGCACATAGAATTTATAAGGCAAGTCAACATAGAGGCAAAAAATCAGATATGCTCTGATCAGATGCAAATCAAGCCCTAGATTTAACAACATCACAACCTCTCGACATAGCTCACAACCATTCTTGGAAAAGTGAAACCAGAGAGCAGTCTTCATCAATATATGTGCCCTAGTCACTCACTGGTCGTTTCAACAATCCCACCAGATCATTCAGTTACATATTTCAAATCCAGAGAAAAGAACAAAATCCATGGCTAAAATTCAGAATTACCAAAAATTAGAAAAAATAAATAAAAATAGAAACTTTATCACGGTTGCAAGCCAACAGCATACCCCTTTACCTATATTTTCACTAACAAAACGAACTAAACCAAAAAACAGTTCCATAGAGGCGCAGAGGCCAACCTGATTCGTGAAGGTATCGAAAAACAAGGTAATTGAGCTCAACGGAAGTAATCATGGCCATCAGTGTGGTTGAACCCAAACCAGTTCTTCTCCGATATAAAGCAGAAGCTCATGGCCAATCTGAGCATAAATAAGACGAGTCAAGCGAAAAGGAGGGAGATATTAAACGAGGCGCCTTAGAGAGTTTCCAAGGAGGGGAATGGGAAGAGGACGCTTCTCCAACTTAGTTTCGGTGTTTCCCCCAAAACCTGCAACTCCGAGAGAGAGAGAGAGAGAGAGAGAGGGGTAACAAAAACAGGGCGCAAACAGAACGAGTTACCTTCGGTGTTTTAATACGGATCCACGCACCCTTGGGAACATTTCATCGATCGGGGTCACGCGTCCGCGGTCGAAGACACCCGCCTTAACGGTTCAGATTACGGCTGATTATGAACCGGGCCGAGCCCGTTAATGGCCCCTACTGGACTTGTTAATGGGCCCCTAATGCTTATCGGGCCTTTAAGAGGCCGGGCCGAAACGCCCTTAAATTTGCCCAACGGCCCAAAAATTCCTTGGGCTGGCCCTCGTCCCAGCCCATTTATTTATTTTTATTGTTTTTTTAGATCTTCACTCTAGAAGCTTTTTTTATTTGTAGTAGGCCAATAATAATAATAATAATAATAATGCATGTTAAAATATTAGGATTGATACATTGAGATCATTTATCTTTGATACAAGGTGGTCACAATTGCTTACAAATATCCGATGTGAAGTTTAATAGCTTGGATGTATCATAAAGTTCGAAAAAATTTCTTTTGAAGTTTGAGCTTGGTCAATAGAATAATTGCAGCTACCCAATTTCACATCCAATGGTCAAGATTAATATATCACCTTGTACCAAATGTAAATGGTCTCATTCTATACTTTTTCTAAATTATTTTTCAAAAAATTTAAAACCATGTTTCTCTTTAAAAATCCAATCTCTCTCTTTCTAAAACTCACTCTCTCTCTCTATAAACCCAATATCTTTCTCTATAAAACCCAATATCTCTCTTTAAATATCCAATATCTTTTTTTCTCTCTAAAAACCCAATCTCTTTTTTATCTCAAAACACATATTCTCTATCTAAAAACTCAATCACTGTCTCTTTCTAAAAAACCACTCCCTCTTTCATTAGAAACTCAAACTCCCTTTTTCTCTTTAAAACCCCATTCTCTTTTTTCTCTCTAAATACCCATTCTCTATCTTTAAAAATCCAATCTCTCTTTTTCTCTCTGAAAACCCATTCTCTCTCTAAAAACCCATTCTCTCTCGAAAAATTGAAGCTCTCTCCCTCAAAACCCAATCTCTCCCAATCTCCCTTTCTCTCTAAGAGACATTTCAACTCAAAAGCTTGAATTAATTCCAATTGTGTCTCTCTCCTTTACCTTCAGCCAAATAAATAAAGTTCTCCCTCTCTCTCTCGAACTTTACCTTCTTCGAAATAAAAAAGGCTCACCCTCTCTTTCTCTAGCTTTACCTTCACCCAAAATGCCTACTAATCTCTCTCTCTCTAAACCCTAACTTTCTCTCTCGCCGTTCTGTTGTTACAAATATTATATTTTGTAACCCTAACTAGTTCTTAGAAGATCTATATCTTCACGATCTTACAGCAAGTTCACCCTGATATTGGTATTTCCTCTAAGGGCCATGAGCATCCTAAACAGCTTTATCAATGACAATATCGAGAAGCTTGCTCAAGAGACCTCAAAGCTTACTCGCTACAACAAGAAGCCCACCGTCACAACGAGGGAGATCCAGCCCTCTGTTCGTTTGGTTCTTCCTGGTGAGCTTGCCAAGTATACAATTTCATAGGGTACCAAGGCTGCCACCAAGTTTACTAGCTCTTGAATGTGTAGTTTGAATTTGAATTTTAGGGTTTCTCTCTCTCTAGATTATTATTTTTTGGTTCGTGATGTGACGTTTCTAAAGTTTGTTTCATATCTCACAAATTTATCTATGAAGATCAAGGTTTTTCATTTGCCCATCAAGAGGCACAACCATTGTGAGTGAACACATGCATCCATCATTTTTATTTGGAGAGATAAGAGATGAGATATATATAAAGAGACGTACTGCAACTATGGATACTTAGGGAGATATAGAAAGAGAGGACGACTATGAATATTTAGAGAGAGGGAGAGAGAACCCCAATGGATAGGAGTTGCAGAAGCAGCTAGGCTTTTTTTAGAGTACAATTACAGAGTTATTCTGAATCAAATCACCTCCTCTCTCTCTATCTATGAAACCCTCTCTCTCTCTCAAAATGACGAGATCAAAACCCCTCATTAGCAGCAACAACGGCAGGGCTGTAATATCCATTGTTTCCTTCTAACCCAATATTTTTTCCTATATTTTCACTCACCTCTCTCTCTCTCTCAATGTATTCATTTTTTTAGCAAAAAACATTGCATGGCTACTCTGACAGTCTACTCAACACATTATTTAGAATGGATGTAAACGAAGTTCACCAGCAGGGGACTACCGGGCCTTCTCGGGCTAAGTCGGGCTTCTTCGCAAATGTTTGAGCCTTATCAGGCTTATTCCCAGGTCGCCGCCTAAGTAGGCTAGCCTAAAAGAGTTCGAGCTTTTCCGGGCATTGGGCCTAGCCGGCCCGTTGGCAGCCCTAGTTCATATTAGACCGAGGCATATGAAATGGTAAAAAATTAATTTTATTGTTATATAACAAAAAATTTCAAATAAAAATGGACCTAAATAACTATGTAGGTTTTAGATGTATTTTGGTCAAATTTTTTGTTTATAATATTTTTGTTAGTTTATTGAATACATCATATAAAAACGAATGCATAGCCCAAATCAGGTAAATATATTTTTCTGAAAAAAATTTTAAAAATAAAATTACTTTGTTGCCCTTAGATAAGACTAGGTCCAATCCTTCACATGTTCAAATCATGTGGTCATTGTACGATCTTCACAATCAGTAAAACTCATGTAGCCACTAACCTTAAATAATAATGATCCTTAAGTAATGATTGTATACACCTCTTTGAAATTTTGGCCAAGGGAATTCCCATTAACAATATAGCTCTAGACCCTGGAAACCATACTAGCTTAGTAAACCTTAATCCATTATAACCATATTGGGTGTACTTTTATCACAAGTCAAATCAGATGACTCATACTTCACCTCTGAAAAAGTATGGACACTTAGTCCCAATGGAAGACTAAGAGTAAAACCGCTTGAGGATAATGCAGCAAACCTACAAAGGATAAATATGATTCTTGCCATTCAAGTGTGATTATGATCGGAGCATAGCTTAGTCTATAGATTTTGAGAATAAGTCAAGGATTGTCTCAACAACAGCTTAAAGCTACCTAGACCAGGGATGGCTTGACCCATCTCAGTTTCAACGACAGTCTAAAAATTGCCCAGAGATGGCTTAACCTATCTTAGTTTCAACAACAGTCTAAAAAGCTGCCCAGAAATGGCTTAACCCATCTCAGTTTTAGCGGCAGTCTAAAGCTGCCTAGAGATGGCTTAACCCATCTCAGTTTCAGCGGCAATCTAAAGCTGCCTAGAGATGGCTTAACCCATCTCAGTTTCAGTGGCAGTTTAAAGTTGCCCAAAGATGGCTTAACCCATTTCAGTTTCAACAGCAGTCTTGAACTGCCCAACGATGGCTTAATCTATCGTCAGTATCATTATTCGACAGTTAAAGCCTTAAAAACTTTACGGATCGCACAATCGATTGATATCTAGAAGAAGGGAATTGTTTATTAAAGAACAAGGAATTCTCTCGTTTATTAAGCTATGTTGAACTCTAGGCTCCTTGCTTTATCACCCTTAAAAGATTAGTATGGATTGAGTTGAAACAACAGAAGTGGCTATAACCGACTACCAACATCATTGATGATAATGACGAATCTCTGGTTCTGCTCTTGCAAAATTATGGGGTTCAAAGGTTTGAGAAGTGCTACCAGATGGCATCTGTGACGAGAACCTGGTAGAAAGATCAACATCGTGAGAAGTTAAATACAAGAGGTAAACCAAAGGTAAAAACAATAAGGTAAACCACGTATGAAGACAAAGATCGTGCCCTGCAAGATTTACACTTCAATTGAGAAGATAAACTCGAGACAATAATGGATGGTAAAGATTCGAAGATCCGAAATAGATAATTATCCATAATTCAGCACTATAAAAAGGGGTACTCCTCGGTTGAAGGGGGGATCGCACTTTTTTTGAGAGACACAGGTCGCACTTTTTTAGAGACATATGTCACACTTTTTTTAGAGACACAGATTGCACTTCTGAGAAACACACAGCTTAGAAGAGAGAGTAGTCTTCAAGACACAAGGAGAGATATAATCATCTCCTACGATTTGCTTGAGACCCGTTTCCTTTTGAAGACCAAACTCGAAGGATAACAAGTCATTACTTAACAGGTATAATGAATATGCCCTCGACGTTATCTTTTCCCTTTTACATTCTGCAATTTTTTCTTTAAAAACGAATGTATTGGTTTCAAAGTCAGAATCAAAGGTGTTCAACTTATTTTAATTATTCAAAGTCAATGTAAATGTAACAGAGGGTCAAACCTCTGAAATTGCTTAGTATCCAGTATAAGTAATAAAGCATGTGTTTCTAATATGATGTACACAGGTAAATTTGGCCCTGAATGTGATGCCCTCTAGTTTTCCATCTGGAGTCCAAGGTCTATTTAAAACATTATGTATTTCCTTTAACACATACACATTTTAGAGCGACCAAATCTCTGACGACTCCACTAGGGAGTAATTTACCTTTTATCTCTGATAGAGTCTAGGACGTCGAATTTCTCTCTCGACAGGTCTTGATCCATGATCCTCTCTATTCTACTCTCGTGTCTTCTGTCTTTACCCTGACGAGATTACCCCTATTTAATAGGTTTAGGTGATCATGGCTGCGGAAGTCACATCCTTCCATGTAGAAACAATGGAGGTTCCATTATATGCCTCCCCAATCAAGGGACAACCTACTTTTCCCGGTGCCGTGGTTATCCCGTATGTTGAAAACGCAGCAACTAGAGCAAAAGAAGCCAAGTCACGAACCTTGATGGCTTTGACAATAAGGAAATCTCGCCCTCAAGTGGATCTAATCCTTGACAACAAACTTTTGATGGTGATTTTGATGTACCTCAATCGACACTTGCAAGAAAAGCCCAATAGCGGCGATATCGCTCGCAATATCACAAAAGCAGCATGGTGTTTGAACGTATTTTTCAGCATCTTGGTCCTGGTAGGAAGCAAGTCAATAAATCCTATAAAACAGTGGAAACTCCCAATAGTCTCG